CCCATCATGGGAATAACCACATCACAACTGCTTAAACTACACAGAATTGTGGTCCAGCCAAGTTGACACACAGCTCCAACTATCACAGCCCTGCTCTCTGGATTCCGGGTGGAGACCCTTTGGCTCTGGGCTTCAACTGCACCTGCCAGGCCCACAGGGACAGCAATTCTCCTCCCTTGGCTTTGAGTGGCCTCATTCTCTTAGTCCAGCTGAAGGGTTAGCCCATCCCCTCAGCTCCATTCTTCTGCCCATTGGGCAGGGCAGCCCTATCCCCTCAGCTTTGAGCAGTGACTCCAGTCCCATCCCCATGGCATTCAACAGCAGTCCCATATTCTGGAACCAAGCTGGTGAAGATCTAACTCTTTGAAACACAGGAGGCCATAGCCCCACACTTTGCGACCCAGCAGGTCATGGTTCTACCTTTTGAGACTCCAGGGGTTGTGGCTCTACCCCTTGAAATGGAGGCAGCTCTGCTTCCTGAGTTCCTTGTCTCTTTAGCTTCTGCCATGTGGGTTCCTTGTTCTCTTGGCCCTTCAGACCTCTTAGCCCAGCCTGGCCTCTTCCCTGCTCAAGCACATGTAACAAAGCTCTTAAGCTTTACCAATATGCCTGGAGACACCCCACTCAACTAGTAAGGTTGGCCTGATAGTACTCAGCTCTATTACTCTATGGGAATCCAAGCCTATTTCCAAGTCTAGTTCCATCAACAAGTGCTTGAAGGCATCCTACTCAGCCAAGAAGCCTACTGACTGAAGGCACTCCGCTCTCTCACTCAACTCCCACACCATCTTGCTCTGGTCTCCTAGTTCTTCTGTTGCTGCCATTTCTCTGCCAATGCCTCTCATAATCTGTACTGTCTTCAGTGTTATAGCTCATCTCACTTCCTTCTGAGGCCTCATCAAAATTGCCTTTTACATCCATAATTCCACCAACAGTCTCATTCAAGGTAATCTAACCAAACCAAAACCAAATCCACTGCCACTGAGTTGATTCCAACTCAGCAACCCCCACTGGGTTTCTGAGGTGTTAAATCTTTATGGAAGTAGACTGTCCAGTCTTCCTTCTGAGGAACAGCTGGTGGGTTTGAACCATCAACATTCTGGTTAGCAGTCAAATGCCTTATGCACTATGCTACCACAGCTCCTTTCAAGGAAATCTAGGCTTTTATTATCAGGCACCTTAAAACTCTTCCAGCCAGTAATCATTATCCAGTTCCAAAACCACATCCACATTATTAGGTACCTGCTAGAGCAGCATCTCACTTCACTTCTTGGTATCAGATTCTCATAGTTATGTAGTGCTGCTATAACAGAAATCCCATAAGTGGATGGCTTTAACAAACAGAAATTTATTCTTTCTCAGTTCAGGAGGCTAGAAGTACAAATTCAGGGCATTAGCTCCAAGACAAGGCTTTCTCTAAAAAAACAGTAAAAAAGGTCCTTGTCTCCTTTCAACATTGGTGGGTCCAGAGTCCCCTGGAGCTCTCCACATGTCTTGGCATCACTCTTACTTTGGGTCTAGGAGGTTCCCAGAACAAGACCATGGGTCGAAAGGACATACTGTGCTCCTGGCTCTTTTTTCTTGGGTGATACTGAAGTCTCTTCTTCTCTGCTCATTTCTCTCTCCTTTTATCTCTTGTAAGATAAAAGGTGTGATGTAGGCCACACCTGAAGGAACACCCCCTCACATTCAGATCAGAGTTGTGACCAGAGTAAATGTTGCATTCTGCTCTAATCCCCTTACAAGTGACTGGCTCATCACATACAATCACACCATTGGGCATGATCACATCATCACATAACTGCCAAATTATATCATTATATAACTGCCAAATCATTGAGAAGCATGGACCAGCCAAGACGACACATATTTTGGGGGACACAATTCAATCTATGACTGGCCCATATACTAAGTAACTACTAAAGTAGATATTAAATTAGAACTATGATATTTTTTACTTTAGAAATGATATTTTTAATATGCATTAAAAAAATAACCTATTATTCAAGAAATTGACTGATTAGATAAACAATGTCAGCGTTTAAGACTGCTAACCAGAAGGCTGGCAGTTCAAACCCACCAGCCACTCCTTGGAAGGAAGACTGGGCAATCTACTTCCGTAGCAATACTGCCTTGGCAACCCAAGGAGGGGTTGCTATGAGTCGGGGCCGACTCGATGGCATATAACCATAACAACAACAACAACAAGTAAGATTATGCCAGGTATTATGTGCGTGTATGGCAGAGAATAGAAGATCTTCATTTACATCATCCTTGTGCCTGATAAAAAGTCACAGGGAATGGGAGTACAGGATTGATGGTACAGGACACTGGTTGTTAAGAGCTACAAACTAATATACTAAGCTAAATGGTTCCACTTGGGGCAAGGAATGAGGTGGTGAGGGTTCCTGACCTCTTAGTTATTTATGATACAATACTGCAGACAGAGACAGGAGTTCACCATACCAATTCAATGCAAGATGAATAAATGGTTGTCTTCTGTAGGCTTGGGACCATGGTTGCAGGGGACATCAAGCTCAACTGGCGTAACATACTACACAAAAATATTGTTCCATATCCTACTTTGGCAAGTAGTAACTGGGATTTAAAAGCTTGCAAGCAGCCATCTAGATACAAC